ACAAAAACCACACGGAGACAGACCTCTGGAAACTGAAAATACAAGATTCTAGGTGACAGAAAGCAAGCAGTCTGACCTCGTAGCCTAGAAACAAAGTTACAATCCTCAGAGTCCTTTCTCCTAGACTGGGGCCACTTATTCATTTGCATTTAAAAGTTAATTGAGCACAGTCAATCACACATCCACAACTTGCATTCCCTCCTGGGTAAGCACATATCAAACCTGTAAGCCTTGTATTCCCTTTAAATAAGAATATTCCTCATGAACTCTTTAAACAGAAAATTATAGGTCTTTTAAGATTGCTTTAGGAGTGTGCAACTTACACCAGGAAGTGTAAGTTCCCTTAAGTTTCCCAAAGTCCAGACTAGGTGTCTGTGTGCACTGCGGGTCAGAATAAATGAAAGAGGCAGAGGGAGCAGAAAGAAAGTCTCCCACTCATCAGTGATTTAGAAGCTCAGGCATCCGAATCCAGCATGTGCACTGGCAAGCACACTCACCACCTAGCTACTGGCTGTTGTAACGCATGTCACCATCTGTGAGGCTAGTCCACTTTTTCTGAACGTTCAATTGAAAAGCTGAACAGAAACAACTCTGTACTATAATGGCAGGGGACTTGCACAGGATGTGAAACATTCGCTTTTTAGGCTCTGAATCACACGAACTAGAGAATCCAGGTCTCTCACATCTGTTCTGAATGCTCCAGCCACAGAGCAATCAACAGAACTGATTAAGAATACAGCTTCATCTGTGCATCTCCCTGTTTTCTACACTCAGCATGGCCCCTGCAGCTGCCATTCTCCAGGCTTCAATTCCTGACTGCGAGGCAGCACAACCTTCAATTAGGGAATAAGAGCCTGCAGCAGACACCTATACGGGCAGCTGCAGAGTGCAGGAGCGCTCGTAGGAGGCTGACCTTCGTTTCTTGATCCTAGCACCATGACAATTGAGGGTTAAAGGGTTACCAGAGTCACCAGGCAGAGTATCTGTCATACCATTTTCTTAAAATCAAATGCAAGTATGATAAGCAAACCCAACAAATTATTAAGATCCAGACGTGAGATAAGGGATTGCCTCTACTGGTCTAAAACAGTCACTTGACTTTTATTGGGGCTAATATTTAACCTCTTAGATTTTTAGTAATTTTTAACCACATGACCACTTCTCTCTGAACATCTTCATTTACTAACAGAAATGCTGAATTAGAATACCACTTTCGCACACTAGAGGGGTGGCGGGAAGGTTGGGAAGAAGATTTATGAAGAGGTGCAAGTGACAGTCAGCTAAGCCATGAACGCTCTTAGCATGCCCAGGCCCTCAAGAAACCTCATCTTGGCTTTATTGGGTCTTCTTCAGTTCCTCCAGGAGGAGGGTTTTTCAAGAGCCACGAGGGTACACTGCAGGAGTGCAATGGCAACGTGACAAACTCAGTTGGCTTCTGTTTTTAGGTTTTGGTGGGGGTTTTTTTTATGTCCCTTCTCCTTTCCACTGTAGTTAGTGTAGCATTCTTTTCTGTGGTTGTTTTGTAACTATCTGCCAAAAATTGTAAAAGAAGAACTATTTCAGAGTTAATTAACTTTGCTTCAAAAGCTTTCTGACTGTTGGCACCAATGCTTTTGTCATTCCTGAGCCTCTGAACTGACAATTCTAATACAACAAACATTTTCATATCCTCATATCTCTAAGTATAGCTCTTTAGAATCTACCAGGACTTAAATAAACCAAAACACACAGTTCCTTGCTATTTAACTAAGCTTTCCAGTTACTATGCACACAAAGCGCTTACTGTGTACTGGTTGTACTGATCTCAGTGGGAGCTGGGGAACTGAATCACTCTCGAGTTTTGTGCTATCACCTCACTTGGTCCACACCATCACAGTAGGCAGGTTACAATTTTTACAAATTACAATTTATTATGCATTACCGCCACATGTTCTTCAACAGCTCTTGCTTCAAAGCATACCAATAAAAGGGCAACTCTTTCACTGAAAGAAAGCAAGTAGTACCAGCCTTGACTCAAGGATCTTGTATGGTTTCAGAAAAAAACAGAACTGAAAAGTTTCCAGTTGTGCTGTGAATTATAAACACTAAATGTTTCTTTAGTGGTTACGTTCTTGTCAAGGCAGATTAAGACAAACTGGATTCTCTGTGTTTTCAAACATGTAAACAGGCTCTGCAGATTAGAGGTAGTGTTTTGAACTGAAAAAGAATCTGGCACATCCAGTATTTTGCATGTCTAATTTCAAAAAAGAGAAAAAAATTACTCCAGCAGCTGTGATTTTTTGACTAGTCTCATATTGCTCATAACAAGATTAATTTACTTCTCTTCTACATTGTGCAATTTTATTCTAGAAGTAACCAGCATTTGATCTACTGGAGATCAAATATTCTTAATTTTACCTACTGCCTTAGTAGGCAGTACTTACCTACTGCCTTTACCTAATGCCTTAGTTTGTAGATACTATCGCCATTAGGCAAACAATCCAAACCATATAAATGGCAGAGCCATTTACAAATGTTTGCTATTAAAAAAAAAAATCATTAAATGAGGAACTCAAACTTAGTTCAGTAATTTTAGTTTATATTTAATCGCATTGCTGCTTTAAGCTAAGGCTTCCATCAGAACAGTCTCCACTAAATCCCACGCAATAAAATATCAACAACTACATTCCCATTTATCCTCCCAGATGGGAATCTGTCTTGTCGGTGTCTTCACAAGTGTCACTGATTGCAATGCCAGAAATTATTTCAAGAACAACAACTTTCTGGTAGTTCTGGGTTCCCTTTCATGCTCCAACTGAGAGTGCACTGTAGCTTTCCACACCTCTGGGGGTGCTTTCCATACCAGTCTGAAATACCTTACTTTCTCCACACAGCATCAACATTCAAATATGACCTTCTTAAAACTATGTCCAGACCTTCCAAAGATAACACCCTCACTACCTTCCTGTATGGAGGAAATCACTTTAGCTCCATATTTGCCACTTAGGATTTAGAATTAAGATATGATTAACTCACAGCAATGCCCAGTTAAAAAAAATTCTTGTCTTAAATCACAAGGTATGGCTCAAGATCACAAGTTTTATGACTGTAGTCACATGACTGTAATCAGCATCCACTTAAGCCATTGAGAACTCAAACCAGGTTGAGGCTGAATCTCATGAACTGAAGAATGAGCCGTAAAACATTCTTGAAATCACTTCTCCCTTCACTGGGGTCAAATCCTGAAGCCCAACACCACAAAAAACTCAAGCGGTGGATGAAAAGGAAAGGCTGACAACAAACTCCAGAGAGAGAAATCATTTGCAAGCAGATGCTATACAACAACTTGCTACCTTTTGACAAAAGGAACAACTTTCTTTTGCCCTTTTTTTAAATTTAAGAATTTTATACACACTTTTTTTTGAGAAATGTTAGGTTAATGCGGTACAAAAGTATTTTACATAAAAAGAAAAGAGAGAGAACACACAGTGTAACATAACACAGCAATTGTCCTCTCACTTAAGGATCATAACAGACAACTGAAGATGGTCTAGTCTCACAAGATACTTACTACAGAAGTTTTTTATTATTAAAACTGCATGTTGGAAGAAAATAGAACTAGAGTCAGATATTAGAAAATGGCAACACAGTGTAATTAAAGCTGCTTGTGTCACTGTTTTCACACATCATAAAATAGCATGACTACACATTTTGATGCTTTCTCCCCTTGCAAGACGTCAGCCTCAGCTGGTGTTCATAACAAACAGTCCTTACTTTCTTTTGTTCTATTCAAGCATTCTTCCCCCCCCTCCTTTTTTCCACTAAAATACTTCACTTTTCACTGAACATGCAAGTAATTCTAGTCTCTCCTTATAGAGGGGCTCTTCACTACAGCACCTGAATGTTTCACATCTGTACCCCACCTCTGAACCAGCAGCAGCTGAGTTAGAGGTAAGACCCTAAAGAAAGCAGAGAACTAGTAACATCCAGGAATCTTCAGCTCTAACCTAGAGAGCTAGAAGCCCTCCAACTCCCACACCAGCTCCTGACCACACCCCACATCTGCTCTCATAATTAACAAGCCCCCATTTTTTGGTTTCTCATGCAGCTTCAATCTTTCTCCAGTTCTTCACCCAAATCCAAATCCCCTCTGAAAACCTACATACCCCTCTTTCCTTCAACTTTTAGCCAAACTGCTTCACTAACAAACAAGTCTTTAACCCACTCCCTTTTCCTTCTACCGCCAGCTTCCTGTAAACCACTTCACCTTTCACTCCTATTCTGGCTCCCCTCATTTTGACTTGCACAAAACCAGGTTTCCCTGTCCTCCTCACACCACACTAATTACAACTCCAGGCCTCAGCAGCAGGGCTGCCTCAGCCTTGTTATCATTCAGTTCCAGTCACAGCTGCATTTACTTAAAACAGGCACATACCCACCTTCCTTCCTTAGTGCTGCATCTTCTCACAGAGCTACTCTCACTTTTCTTTGCATTTCAACCTCAGCTTCCTGCTCTCTCCCGTGCTCTTGTTCTCTTGGTCACTGCCTGCACCTAGCAGGCTGGGCACACAGAAACCAGCTTTACTTATCCACTTCCACTGGCTGAATTGACTTTCCACTGAGGGAAATACAAAACAGATAAATTTGGCGTGGCTGTAACATCTAACAGTTCTCCAAGGGTACTGAAGCATTTTTTTTTAAAAGGGTTATACTGTAACTTGTTCACATTAGTCTTCCAATGTTCTCAAAGGCACTGGGTACGTGAGCCCCTGTTGCGGGCACAGTGACACAATGCTGCTGAGAAAAGGTCAGCAATCCTCCCCAAAGGGGGGGGGGGGAAGGTGGTTTCACCTAGCCCCACCCTCAGACATACCTCAATGCAGCGCAAAATCCAGCAAGTCAGTTCAAGACAATTCACTTACATGAGTCCCTCAGTAATGTTAAAGCAACTAAAACAAAAAGGGACCCTGGCACAGCAGGTGAAGTACCATCTTCCCCAGAGCGCTGCTCAGCTACCTCACCTGTCAGGCAGCGACGCCTTGGGAGACACCAGGCCTCGGCCACGCACGTCTCTGGAACTGGACTCCTCAGCTAGGAAATCACCCCAGGCAGGACACGAACACATGCGTGCAGCCTCAGAGGTGGGTTACAGCCAGTTTCAGCAAGCGCGGCCAGGAAGGACCCCCGCGCCGGCCCCAGCCCTCGGGGGCGCCGGGCCACCTCGGCCCTCGAGCAACGCCA